AGTGAAACATATATTGAGGAGATATATATACACACATACAGAGAGCATGAACAGGTGGGAGTTGTCTTACCAACTAGAGTATGTGTGTATATATATCTCCTCAATATATGTTTCACTCTATATGCATCCGAAGAAGTGGGCTGTAGTCCACGAAAGCTTATGCTCTAATAAATTTGTTAGTCTCCAAGGTGCCACAAGTACTCCTGTTCTTTTTGCGGATACAGACTAACACGTCTGCTACTCTGAAACCAGTCTTAAGCCCTGCTTCTTTACGTATTTGGCAATAATTTTTTTTTTCCCCGCCGTCTTAGGTAATGAGCAGACCCAAATCTACAAACTGGCTGGCTACCAGAAGGACTGATTTCTGAACTTTTTCTAAGTATGGCTTGCAGAAGAATAGGAGGCCATGGACACACTCTTTCTCCAGCTTCCTCCATTAACTGTGTAAAAGCCTTAGCAACTGGAATTCGAACACATAGTATATGCATGGTATCTGATTTTTTTTATCCAAATATGGGAGGAGTGGAAAGTCACATCTACCAGCTGTCACAGTGCCTGATTGAAAGAGGGCACAAAGTTATAATTGTCACCCATGCTTATGGAAACCGAAAAGGCATTCGTTACCTCGCCAATGGTCTGAAAGTTTATTATTTACCTTTGAAGGTAATGTACAATCAGTCTACAGCAACAACGCTCTTCCACAGTCTGCCTCTGCTCAGGTACATATTTGTGCGGGAGAGAGTCACCATAGTCCATTCCCATAGTTCCTTTTCTTCCATGGCTCATGATGCACTCTTCCATGCCAAGACAATGGGACTACAGACAGTTTTTACAGACCATTCTCTCTTTGGATTTGCTGATGTCAGTTCGGTGCTTACAAACAAACTTCTTACTGTGTCACTGTGTGATACAAACCACATCATTTGTGTCTCTTACACTAGCAAGGAAAACACTGTACTAAGAGCAGCACTGAATCCTGAGATCGTATCTGTCATCCCTAATGCTGTTGATCCCACCGACTTCACTCCAGACTCAAGTAGAAGGGATGATAGTACAATAACAATTGTTGTTGTCAGCAGGCTTGTTTACAGAAAAGGTAATGAGGTCCAAACTGTAAGTTGCTTTTCAAATAATTTTTTTCTCATTTTTTTTAAAATGGGTGGTAAGAAATATTCAGTATTTAAGCAACTGAATACAGATGCCATATCTGTGACGGAAAGAAAACGAGTTGAATCTGAAACAGTTGTTTCACTCATTTCCCTCTTTCCACTTCCATGTATTAAGTCTAATGGCCTGATCCTAAGGGCCTTAACTCCTATTGACTTCATTGGAACAGAAGCTGGCCCTGAACAGCCAGCCATGCGAGTCACCAAGTGACTGAGGGTACTCAGCAGCTGTCATGGAGTCACGGGGTCTGTGCTATGCCCCCAGCCTATCTCCAGTCCCCTGGAAGTAACCTATGTAGTGTGCCCCCAAAACCCACACAGTTCCATAGGGGAGGCCCATGGCCTTTAAGAACCCAAGACTGGGCCTTAAACATCTGTGTTCACTGTCTGTCTCTATGCCTCCCTGCAGCAAATCCAGCCAAGCCAGACTTCTGTGGGAGGTTGGTACTGGGGTACAGGGGAATGTTCTTGTTGAAAGAAAAATTAAACCTACGTCCACTGATATTTTTTAAAAAATTCTTTGGTCTTAGATTTTGAATATGTGTACACTTCGGTCAGATTAATTTAAATTTTGGTCTTGTACAGACTCTACAGTAAGGTCCCATTTCTACAGTCACACAGAACCCCATTGAAATCAGTTGAGCTCCTGGCAGGCACAGTGCTGTCCCTGCACATAGTAAATGTGTGTTTATCCTGACAATGTCCCTTTTTAAATAGAAAAATAAATAACTGTATGAAACTACTTAGGTCCGACTCCTATAACAAATCCTGACCGGTTTTTTAAAAAAAAAAAGTTTGCACTTTTTCTTCTTTAATTGTAGCAATGAGCTGATATTTAAGCAAATAAGCATTGTAATCTTAAAAACCTGAAAGTGAAGCTGTTTAATAAGTGAAAATTGACTCATTTGATTTTTCATTGCCCCAGTAAGTAGAAATGGAAGGAGTAACCAAAGAATATAAACAGTGATACTCAGACTGAGGCTCGCGAGCTGTAAGTGGCTCTTTAATGTGCCTCTTGTGGTTCTTTGCAGCACATGATATTAAAACACTGTGTGACTTAATTATTAACCAATCAGGATGCTTTTACTATGTTATTAACCAATTGTAGTTGATAAAATAATAATGGTCAGTCATTTTGCTGTGAGAATACTTAATATATATTAAAAAAACCCTAATTTGCCTGTCATACCATTTAAATATGAATATATATTGCTATAATAAAAGAAACAATGAATTCACATTAGCTCTTTTGAGTAACGTTGATTGCTAATTTGGTTCCTGAACCACTGAGGTCTGAGCATCACTGACATAAACTGTGAAAATTTTAATTTTTTTCACTTTCCGTAAGTGTAGGTGGGGCTTGTAACAGAGGTAAAGAAATCTGTTTACTACATAATTTTTAATTGACAGTATGCCCTTAATTTCTTTTCTTCAACAGAATTTTAATGTTTATCATAGGTTTTTGTTTTCAGTTGCTTTTGTTTATTATACTTGTAGAAAGAAGGAAGAAATTTCTTGATATTATAATAAACCTAAAGGTTCTAAACTTTTAGTTCAGGTTTCACAAATGCTATGTAAAATATAGCATATTGCAATAACGTAGCATTCACTCTTTATCATTCAGATTAATATATATACAACATACTAATTCAGGCTAATATAAATACATATAACTACAAATGGTTAAGCTACCAATAAATGAAAAATATTGTCTTAATTGAATTCATAGATATTTTTTACTGCTACCATGAATTTTTTCTGTTGGAAGGTGGGGGAAGGAACAATGAGGCACTATTCGAGCCATTAAAACAATATGGCCATCACAAGCATTCAGTGTGATGTTAATGGCCTAGTTCCTTTCTTTCTTTTTAAAAAACAACAACAAAAACAAACCTGTGGTGGGAGGGACTTGTGGAAATTTGCTCCATAAGGATTCCCTCCTGCAGTTTCTCCATTGTCACCTTATCAGGATTTGTTCCCCTTCTTTGCAGAAAATGGCACAGGACCTTTAGCTAAGCCTGGGGGATCCTTGGGAAGCCAGGGATATTCATGTTGCTTTCCTGTGCCTCTGTACTAGGGCAAAAGACATATCTGTCTTCAAGACTAACTTGATAAGTTTATGGAGGGGATGGTATAATGGGATAGCCTAATTTTGGCAATTAATTCGTCTTTGACTACTAGAGGTAAATATGCCCAATGATCTTGTGATGGGATGGGATGTTAAATGGCGTGGGATCTGAGTTACTACAGAGAATTCTTTCCTGGGTGTCTGGCTGGTGAGTCTTGCCCACATGCTCAGAGTTTAGCTGATCACCATATTTGGGGTCGAGAAGGAATTTTCCTCCAGGGCAGATTGGCAGAAGCCCTGGGGTTTTTTCGCCTTCCTCTGCAGCGTGGGGCACAGGTCACTTGCTGGAAGATTCTCTGCACGTTGAAGTCTTTAAACCATGATTTGAGGACTTCAGTGGCTCAGCACAGGTTTGATACAGGAGTGGGTGGGAGAGATTCTGTGGCCTGCATTGTGCAGGAGGTCAGACTAGATGATCACAATGGTCCCTTCTGACCTTAAAGTCTGTGAGTCTATAGTTTGGCCTCCCCCTCGCCATGGCTTCATAGAAGCGTGGCTCAGTCAGATCAGATGTAGGACATACAATTTGGACTGAGATACTGTTTGAATGTAAATCACCTATCTCTAAATTGAAGTACTGAATCTTTTTTAAAATATCATATCCGTATGACCAGTTTTAACTCTATGCTAATTAAAACATTAGAATAATAAAACTGTAGTTTTAGTTTCATTCTTTATTTCTGCTTTTAGATTCCTTTTGCTAGTTGATTTGGGGTCCAGTACTTACTTTATAAAGAGATCCTGGGCTGCCCAGAATCTCCACAACATTGCATGCTTAGGTCCTGCCCCTGACATGCCCTTCCTGTCCCCAGCCATCCACCTTGTATGAGGACTTGCAAGTGGGTCCTCAGAGGAAAGCATGCAGCTGTCCTCCTCAGTTCCTGCACCAAGGGAGTTCTCATCTGACCAGAACTGGACCTTTTAGGGTCCTTTTACTGGTAAAAGAGGTTGGAGCTGGGGTGAGAATCTCACCCATTGACTTCATTGGGTCTACTGGTGTGACTAGAGTTGCAGGATTGAGTCTTTGTCTTCTGCTTTTTAGCAAACTGTGTTCATATCTCAGTTGTGGCACTTGGGGTTTTGATGCCTCGTGCAATAATTTTGTGTAAAGTTGAAAATGGTTATATGCTTAAAATGTCAATTAGTTTGAGGCCCTAAATTTGCTTTAGATTTTTTTTAAATCTCCTTTGACAAGGAATGACTTTTTTTAAACTGCTAAGCAAAGAGGATATGTAATTTAAACACTTCTTACACTCTTGCATTCTGCTAGTTCATCAGTTTTGATATTTTAATAGCCAGTGATGCAACCATTTTTCAGAGACCTCTGATTTTGACACATGTGAATAGTGTTACAGGAATGGATGGCATCAGAAAGATAAGCTCTAAACACTCAAATACAATAATAACTGCTCTACATTTTGTATTTTTAGGTATAGATTTGCTTAGTGGTATAATTCCTGAACTTTGTCAGAAATATCCAGATTTACATTTCTTAGTTGGAGGAGAAGGACCAAAGCGAATAGTTTTGGAAGAGGTACGGGAAAGATACCAACTACATGACAGGTTTGTTCTGTGTGTTTGTGGTTACAATGTAAATATAAAAAGGAATATGCTGAAACAATGAGGGGGTGGAGCGAAGCGGGTAGGAACACAGATTGAACGAGAATAAGCAGACTCTTGCAAATTTACACCCTGATTCTGCAAGTTGGTTTGTGCAGGCAGATCTGTGCCAAGCCCCAGTGAGTTCAGTGGGACTCTGCACAGGCATAAAGTTCTGTTCACACAAATCCAGTTGCAGGATCAGCATGTTAGAGTCCTAGCCATCTGAAGCAGTATCATACAGTGAAATAAGGTGTCAGTGGTTAGGTAGCTGGTTTGCTGCAACTGCTGCTTATCAAGCTGACCAGTACTGTTTTATTGTGCTTCCCCATCTGTGTACCCCACCTGTTGTCTCATTTTATATTTTGACTGTAGGCTTTACCAAGCAGCGACTATCTGCTTGGCATTGTACACACACATAAAAACACAGTGTCCTTGATTGGCGCTCCTAGGCACTATTGTAATAAAATGATAAATTAATAGAGGTAGGATCTGTTTTCATAGCAAATATTGGTGTGAGTTGGCTCCTCTTTTTTGTGTGTGTGGTGGGGGGGGTGAGTAGAGCTTGTTTTTCTATTAGACAACAATATGGGTTGCTGGTTCATTGTTTCTGCATATAATACCAAGCAATAGTGCAAAAATTGGGGGAGGGATAGCTCAGTGGTTTGAGCATTGGCCTGCTAAACCTAGGGTTGTGAGTTCAATCCTTGAGGGGGCCACTTAGGGATCTGGGGCAAAATCAGTACTTGGTCCTGCTAGTGAAGGCAGGGGGCTGGACTCAATGACCTTTCAAGGTCCCTTCCAGTTCTAGGAGATGGGATATCTCCATTAATTAATTAAACAAATCCCTGAAGTTGTTTTTCTATCTCTGTCCTTTTATAAAACAAACAGAAATGAAATCCTCACTGGATTAAGATAGTGTTCTACTTAATTATTTACACTGCACTTATTATTTATGTTTTGGCATATTCAAATTTACACACTTGAAAAACTAAAAATAACTTTTCATTTTCCAGCCAAAAATTTAGTGGGTTTTAAAAAAAAGCCTGTCTCTATATATGAAAACTGTACTAGAGGGTTGCACAGTTCATTGTTTCTGGGGGTTCAGCTCAGTGCACACCCAGAGGCTCCTTTCATTCCTCCAGCCCTCTTTCCTCTTCCCCCCCCCCTCCATGTGCCACCGTTCCATCCCCCTCTTTCAGGGCCTCCCTTCAACTCTTTCCCTTCCCCCCCCTCCCCCCCAATGTCCTCCCTCAAGGCAGGGAACTCCCTACAACCTGGCACACCTTCCCTCATGGCTGGGGCTCTGTGCGCCCTCCTACCTGGGTCCAGCATTCCCATGCCAGAGGTTCTGTGTGTGCCCTCCCTCCCCCCTTTATTATTTCTTTTCTCTCTGAGGGAGAAATAATTCAGGGTGTCAACATGTCTCTCTTCTGGTTTTCCTATTTTCCCCCCAAATCTAAAGGGTTCCTCCCATTGATGCCTAGAACACTCCCTGAAATTTTGGAATTGATTAGATGTTGTGTTGAAAAGTTACTGGTTGGCCAGTGGATATGAAAAAGCGATAGGTATTTTGTTTCTCTTTTTAACTCTACTGTATATGTGCAGGACATGCTTTCCTAAATACACCTCTACCCCGATATAATGCGACCCGATATAACATGAATTCGGATGTAACGCGGTAAAGCAGTGCTCTGGGGGGGCGGGGCTGCGCACTCCGGCGGATCAAAGCAAGTTCGATATAACGAGGATAGCGTTATATCGGAGTAGAGATGTACTTTTACTAGAGATGTGTATATCCCTGTTATGCATTACAGACTTCAAATAGCTGTCTGATAATTACCCAGAAGAAGCCATTTTGATTTCTTTAGTGTGATTTTATAACTCAGAAAAATATTTTCAGACTATTTCCTGTTTTGCATTTCATGTGGGACACAATTTATATAGTCTCATAGATTTTATATATATATATATATATATATATATAAAACAATAATAAAATGGTTAGAAAGGTCTATCGTGAGTCATGTATTCTGGCCTTCTGCGTATCACAGGCCATTGAACTTCCCCTGAATTAATTCCTATGTCAGGTCCAGTAGCTATTTAGAGCATATCTTTTAGGAAGAAAAATCCTACCTCCTCTCTTGCCCACATGATCTATCCTGAATACATTATAACCGGGGACTGTAACATTTCAATCATGCAGATCTTTCCACCAGGTTTCAATAATACCAACTAGGTCAAATTTATGCTCATAAATTATCACCTCCAGTTCCTCTTACTTATTACCTAAGTTCCTAGCATTCATGTATAGGTAATGAAAGTATTTCTTCTCTGCATTTACCTTGATTAATTTTATTCTTGATATCTTGATTTTGTGCTAAATGAGTTCTCATTTGTTCTCCCTTTTCACCCTACCTTTTTGTTATTAGTTTAACACCTTCCTGACTAGTCTAGCCAGCCAATCCCCTAGAAGATGGAAGCCATCCAAATTGCATGGCCCCCTTTCTTCATAGAAGGTGATCCAGTTTTCCACAAAACCAAAACCCTGTACTTTATGCCACTTACCTAGCCAGCGGTTTGCTTCTAGAATCTTTTGTTTGCTGTCTTCCTTCACTCAGAGGACTTCCTTTCTTGCCTTCAGCACCTTTCTAAGTTCTCTAAAGTCATTTATAATCTGAGTTATCACATGAAGCAGTGTCAGTAGCATAGATATGCACCATCGCTAGTGGAGTCAGGCTTCTGCAGTTGACAGGCACATCTAATCTTGCAGTCACATCTTGTGTCTTGGCTCTGGGAAGACCACATGCCATCCTGTTGTCTGCCTGTCCCTTGCGGAATGTTCTTTCCATTCTGCAGCATAGAATCCCCGACAAAGATCATCTGTCTTTTTTGCATGTTTGGAGATCTTTGTGAGCATGGGGGATTTTCTTATGGGTTGGGGTGAGCAGCCATTCTCAGGTATGTCCTGTATGGTCTCTATTCCATTTGACTTGCTGGATCTTCAGACACACTTTGTACTGTGTCCATGCTAAGAATCTGGTAGTGATTGGCTATTTCTAGTTGTATGGAATTCCTTGTGGTCCTTGCTCAGTTGGTCACAGTCTGTCCATCTTCTTTTTCCTCCAGCAGTGTAGAATGCTGCTTTGTTCTCTTGCCCTCTGGTGGTTACCAGCTGCCAATACTGTCTGGTTTCCGCTCTTTCTGGTTCCTTGGTCATCAAATCCTTCTTGAACCTGGGATGGTGATACTTTCAGAGTCTGGTTGTCCAGGTACTCAGCCTCTCAGATATGCAGTGTCAATACCTATTCTTTCAAACCCTGGATCTTATCTTCCAGCACAACCATTAACTTCCACCTCAAACAAAATCTCTTTTGCTTCAGGCAGGAAAGAAAACATGGCACATCTGTTGCAGGCCACGGCCACTTTTCCATTGCTGGTGGTCATGGTATTGAATGTAGAAACATACCTAGAAAGAGAGCCTCTCACTCTCCCTGTAGAACTTCCCTATTTGCTGCACTTGTTTGAACACGGGAGACTGGTAAATTTGGAATATTAACCAAATAACACAATCTTCCCTTCTTAACCTAGAAAACATGGTAGAAATATTTTAAAGGCAATTGCCATAAAACCTCAGTTTTTCAAACAGTTTGGTTTTTCTTTTCAAGAGGCTTAAATAAATACAGAGGCTTAATTTTTTAATCAAAGTTTAAAGAAATTGGAATAAGATAGTGTCCACACTGCTTTAATATAGTACTATGTATACGCTGTAAACTGTATGTTCCAAAATATTTATGTAATGTTTTGTAGCATTATTACAGTATGTGAAACCAGTGTTCATCTTTTTCTTTAACTATGGGCAGAGTGCGTCTTTTAGGGGCTTTGGAACACCAGGATGTTAGAAACGTCTTGGTCCAGGGACACATTTTTCTCAATACTTCTCTCACTGAAGCCTTCTGTATGGCAATTGTGGAAGCAGCCAGTTGTGGTTTACAGGTAAAAGAATCTTTGCTGTATAGAATGCATGCATACATATTTTTACGATGCTTATTTTCATAATATATGCTTATAACAGTTCATTTCTTCTGAGGCTCTATAAGCAGTCTACCAAGGTGGGCAAATATTAATCCACATTTACACATCCTCTGGAAACTGAGACAAAGAGAAAGGTTAACTGACTTGCTTAGCTCCCAGAGGAAGTTCATGTAGAGTTGGGAACAGCATACAGGTCTCCTAACTCCCAGTTCTCTGAACTAACCAAGCTGCCTCTTCAAAATGCTGTACTGTATGTATTTTTGAAAGTGTTTTTGGCCAGTTAACTCTCTGTCCATGGACAACTATATCTGTTAGACTTTTGCCTCTACCTTCCATCAGCAATAGGTATTTGAAGAAAAATGTTTGGTGAATATGACCGATCTTTTGGTTAATTCACGTAGCCTTGAGTGAGCCATTGTTCTTATCACTGTTCTTTGGCTGACTCAAGAACTGATATCCATTTCTTAAGTCAGCTGAGGAAGTATTTACTCTGTATAGAGATTTCACATAAGGAGGAAAGAGGAAAAGAGATCAAAGATTGGGACATTCTTGGTGGAATCCCTTGCTGTCTTGTATACTTTTGTGAGTGTTATGAATCCATGTTAGTGTTGTAAGGGTTAAAATAGCAACTGAGCAGAGTCATACTGTCAGAGATTCCATTCCCAAGTAACTTTTTAAATATAGAGGCTGTCTTGGGCATAGAGAAATTTAAATGATGGGGACTGGAACCCTCTCCAGAGACCCATGATAGTAGATTCTGCCTGCTAGCCTCACCCCTCTCCCAAGTCCCAGTACCCATTCCCTTTCTACTTGCTGCTTGGGATGAGTTCTAAACTTTTTTATTATTGCCTAATAATAATAGACCTGACAAGAGTTTGTGTTCTACTTCCTTCCTTTTTTTATTATTAAAAAGTTTTTTTAGATTAAAATTAGTATTCCAAAACTTTCAAATGTGTTATGTTCTTGTAAATGTTAGTGACATAGAAGCTCAAAAGTGTGTGTGGGAGATAAAACAACCCCCCCTTTTTAGCCTACTGGCCCTTTTCCCTTGGGGATGGTGAAGGTGAGAGGGGCACAAAAGAGGCAGTGGGGAGGGAATCCAAGCCTGATTATACATAATCGTTTGTGTATTGTGACAGGCACCTTTGGGAAAGATAATTCCCTTCTTTGAAAATTTGTTATACATAGTCCTTTCTGCTTCTGTATGTGAGGTCCCTTTGATATCCAAATATTGATTCTGAACATTCCACCGCTAAGCTACTGTACTAACATCTCTTCTAGGGCCAAGACCTATAGTTGTCATGCAGATTAAACTTTTTGAAGTCATTTGATGATGTGCCTGGAAGGCACCTGCAAGGTTGGATCCTTTTGTTTTGATCTAAAGTACTCCTGTTGAGCAATTTTGTCTTATTACCAATATAGCTGTATTTTAGTGAGTTATGTTATGCAGCATGCATACTACTTAATTGTTTTGTTGCCTCCAAAGGTTGTGAGTACAAGAGTTGGTGGAATCCCTGAGGTGCTACCAGAAAATCTTATCATCTTATGTGAGCCCTCAGTGAAATCTTTGTGTGATGGTCTGGAAAAAGCTGTTGCCCAGATCAGGTCAGGAACACTACCAACCCCAGAAGCTATCCATAACAAAGTAAAGACATTCTATACATGGAGGAATGTCGCAGAGAGAACTGAAAAAGTACGTAGACCTCTACTTCTGACTGTCTTAAAGTGTGATTTTACTCAAAAAGTGACTCTCTACAAGTAGTGTTGTGAGATTGTGTATTATTTCAGTGATTTCCATATCAAATGTGCATGGTTTAACAAATAAAAAGTGAATGTTTTCTCCGCCAACTACTAGCCCTATAAATTCATACTACCACTAGAAAATCAAACTGGATTCTTTCCTTGTTATGCACCATTACCATTAATAAAGTTCCAGAAGTGCAGATAATGCCCTCAATTACGTCTGTGCAACTCCATTGTTTTCAGTTGGTTTGTGCACATATAACTGTTTGACCTTGGAATTGGAAAAGGTACTGAACAAGTCTGATACACAAGAAGGAACAGAATCTGTCTGTCTCTGCCCAGATTAACAGAAGTAAAACTTAGTGACTAAAATAAGATCTTAACATCTTCAGATACAATTGAACACACACAAGTTAAGGATATGTTGAGTAAGAAGTTGCCATGTTTTCACAGCCACTTATCAGAGTAGAACTGTACTTTACATATTAGTACTTTTTTTTACATTAGTGACAAACTTTACCTGTTATAGATAACGCAGTTATAACTTGTTGTGGCAAACACCTCCAGCTGACACTTCTAGAAAAACTGATTTTGGCCTCAAAGGGGTTGGAAAGAAATAAAATAATGTGCAACTTAATGTCAGCTTGGTTTTATCAGTGTCCTATAGAATAATATTTAAAAAAAACAAACACAACCATAAGATTGTGAATTGTATTTCTCTATCAATTTCTTTTTAAACTTTACAGTTTTGAATGTTTTAACTTGCGCTTTAAGAATACCTTGTCATGCTGAAACATTCTTATTGCACATTGCTCCAATATTGCTGTTGATGTCAGCTATGTTGGTTAACCGTTGCTGCATAAGGAATACTAATGTTGCAGCTCCTGTAAGAATATATAGTCTTTTAATCAATAGTGGAATAGGAGATTAAAAAGGTTGTATGTAACCTTTAAAAAAACCCAACTATTTGAAGTGTGATTATAGCGGTTAGTTTGGTTTAGTTTTTCGGGAAGAGCTAAAAGAAACTGGATTCTAAACAAACTAGGAAAATGTTGGGATGAGTAGAAGTCACATTTTTCAGCCATGAAACAATACTGGTTATTTGCAGAACTAACTTCACTTTATCTCTGAAATAACTGGTGCATGATAGTTGCATCAGGTTTTCAAAGACATGGCTTTTGGGCTATTTGAAAACTTCCATTATCTATATGTTGTAGGTATTTATAGTGCTGCCCTTTTAGTATAGCACCATTCTTTAAATAGCAGTTTTGAATAATAGTACTCACTAAAAAGAAAGTTATTAAGTCCCTTATATATTGTCAAGCCTATTCTATTATCATGTTAGTAACTCTTACAAAGTTATTTTTCATCAAGAAAGCTATAGATTGTGTCCCATTCCTACTTACTCCCTAGCTGCAGGTACAAAGATTAGAATTTAGACAGCCCTCCCTGATTTGCTTGGATGAACAAAGAATCTTTGTGCTGCAAATCAAGTAGTTAAATCAGTATGGTTTGTTCCTGTGGGGTGGTGTGTGTGTGTGTGTGTGTGTGTGTGTGTGTGTGTGTGTATAGACATCTACGCACACCCCCTTTACCTTTAATGTAAATATAGCAAAAGAGCTTCAGACTTCCTTTCATAAAGAAAAATAGAATTTCTGATTAAAATGGACTTTCAGTGTTCAGCATTCTGGGATTCTCACATATTTTTGTGGGCAGGGAAAGTAATAATCTTTTCATAATTTATCATCATGTTGAAGTGTGAGTGAATAGAGTTTGAGTCTGGATTGGTAGACTTTCATGGAAAGTTAGTTTTTTTCTAAGTGTCTGATCCTTTTTGAATCCCACTAAGCTCTTGCCCTTAGTGATCTCTTGTGATGATGAGTTCTGCAATTTAATTAAGTTGGGAAAGGTATTTCCTTTCCATCAGTTTTAATTCTGCTGCCTTTCTGTTTGACTATCCCCTTGTTCTTGTATTATGAGAGGCTGAATAGTAATGTGTGATCCTTCACTTCTCTGTGCCATTCATTATCAAGTTACACACAATAATGTTCCAATCTTTTAAATCTGTCTTCCTGTGGAAGTTTTTCCACCTCTTTAGTTATTCTCATTGATTTTTTTTTTTTTTAAGGACAGTCTTTTATATGTAAGAAACTATTTTTGTTGGACACTCCCATCTAAGTTTGGAACAGGATCATTATTATATGCAATACATAGTAAAACACAGTTTTGCCTAATCTTCAGAGATGATACATAATAAAGATTACTCGGCAAAATTTAACTTTCCTCATTTCCCCTCTTTCAGGTGTATGACAGAGTTGCAGATGAAGTGGTATTATCAATGGACAAGCGGCTTGACAGACTAATATCTCACTGTGGCTCAGTGACTGGATGTATTTTTGCTCTTTTTGCTGTATTAAGCTTCCTTTTCCTGGTATTTCTGAGATGGATGACTCCAGATTCCATTATTGATGTTGCAGTAGATGCCACGGGTCCTAGTGGAGCATGGACTCAACAGTATTTTCCTAGTAAAAAAGGAAGTGAGAAAGAAGAGATTTTAAACTGTTAAAAATGTTTTAAGTGGGGAGACCTTTGCTGTCTAAAAGGTTTTAGTATTTGCTGATAGAATTAATTCCACAAAGAGACATTGTATTTAAACTCTTAAAAGCTTTCCTAAATTGTTGGAAAGAAACTTGGTAAAATGTGCTACCTCAAGTTAGGATTGTGCCAATTAGTTTTGGGGAAAGACTTAAACATATGCAGTTTATGGGCACAATCCTTTTGCACTTATGCTTAAAGTAGCGAGGAAAATGGTAATATGCACAGCTCAGGTGTAAAACTACCTTCAGAGAGACAAGAATACCAGATTTCATCTGCTACTAGTGTATTATACAGAGAATAAGCATGGATTTTTCATGGCACCTACGGTGCCAAAACACAAAATTAACTAGCTTTAGGGGTTTTTTGCCAACTCCTAATATTTGTATTGATGTACTGGAGACCTGTGAAGAATTGGCAAAATAAAAATACCTACCCAAATCAATCAAAAAATATGTGAAATCACTTCTATAAAAACAAGCACATTACCATATAGACTTTCAGCACCTGATGTACTGCTAGCCAGCTCTTGTCCTACCCAACTGTGTCCCCTAGACAGACACTTCTGGCTGCACAAAACTAGTTTTGAAAGGGTTCTTCGATGTTCTGCCTAAATGTGATCAGTATCTCTCTGATCTATCAAAACTCCATTATAGAATTTTTTTTGATATCTTAGAAAATGCTAAATACTGCCTATTTCACTCTTACATGGAAAAGTAACATTTTATTGTTTGTTTTAAAGTACTCATGAAAGTGAGGGAATTATATTATTTTTAGAAACCAGCATAATGCAAAGGCACAAGCTTCCAAGAATAGCTCAGGCCTGCCAACATGGTAACTTCTGTTTGTGTGTGAGAGATGTAGATAAACATCCACTAAGGGCTAGACAAAAACTACTAATTTTTGTTAATTTATGACATCAGTTGCATTTGAATTCATCTTCAGAAGAGAAAATGTTAAATGTCATGACACCTAGACTGCACCAAAGATATTCTTAAATGAATCCAGTAAGTTAAATCTCTTTCTGGAAAAAGTTAGTGGATCTGGCCAATAGATTTGCATACTCCCTGTGAGGTGAGAAATGTGGTCCCTTGCAGTCATTGGTTCTCTAGCCCTAATCTAAGTAGTCTACACCTATATCAATCAGAAAACAACTTTGAACACATAAGTAGTAAGAGAAGAGATGATATTTCACATTCCTGTAAAGCAACTCTCTCAGGATGTTATATGTTGTATGCACTGGATTAATTTCTTACTATAGCATTGTTTTAAACTTAAAGGGTTTAACGAAGCTGTGCATAATGAAACTCCCCATGATATAATTGTATTCTGGATGTGCAATATGCAAGGTTGTTTTCAGACCTTTGCAGGATAACTTAAAACATGCAACTAATCAATGTTTTGTACAAACATCTTCTAAAATTTAAGTTTATTTTGCTGTGTTGGGGTGCAAAGGTGATAACTTTTTTTAAACTAAATCTGTTTAACAGTATTTTAATGAAGCACTGATAGGATTATGAGAGGCACACTGTTTACAAAGTCTAAGATTTAGTTTCTTCTGTTAGAAAAAATGCTCAGCTCTAGATATTTAACATACAGTAAACATATTATACATTTGAACATTTTTTAAATGTTAAGAAAAAAGTAGAGATTAAATATAGTAGTACTACAGAGATTGATAAAGTGGGTACAGTTGTAGGTAACACTTTACTAAGGAGAATTTCGTAATTTTTAAAATCTGGTGCACTATTTATGTTTTGTAAAAATCACTGATACCATTTCAACTTAGTTTTGCAATAAGTATTTTTGAAATGTTATGTTGATTTCAGTTTTCTTTTGGAACTTTTCTGTTTTGATTGCCAAAAGCATAGAGGAACTCATGTAAAGCATACAGAACTCATAAATTATACAAAACTCAAATGTAGAGGAGGAGGAGGATTATATATAATAATCTTTCTTGTGGCAGAATATTACATGCTTCTGACTAATACAATAAGGCCTTCTTATAGCCTTGTATAATTTACAGGTTACCTAAGTCTTCTGTACCTTGCAATAAAGCACTGATATTTTTAGTTATAACGTGCATACCCAGACACTAGCAATGTATATGGAAACTTACTGCACTGATGCTGCTGCTCACTATTCTAGCCTTGTAACTAGAACATTCTATGGTAAATGACATATAAAAGAAAAGGGGTTTGGCTTGTTGCAAATGAAGTTTAATCTGACTGGCTTAACTACAAATGTACTGTATCTCAAACAGTGTAGTTTATAATATCTGTAGTTCGCTCCCCATTTCCTCTTTTCAAACACCAGGTCTTTGACCCCGTCAATGTATCCATGAATAGTTCCACTGAACTCAGTAGAATTACTCTCCTACATAAAGTTACTCATATACGTAAATATTTGCAGATCTGGGGCCTAAAATAGCAATGTGCAAGTTAGAGGAGTAAAAGTGGGCAGGATGAAGTCATTATCTGGCTATACTGAAAGAAGGACAAGAGACACTTGATATAGTTTTAATCAGGCTGCAACTTTAGTATTAGATGTTCAGGACTACCCAGCAGATAAAAGTGTACAGTGCAGATTACCCTATATTCATTCAATATCTACCTGGGGACTTCCTCTAGCTCCACTCTTTTTTTCCATCCAGGGCCCCCAGCCAACCCATTGATGGGACTTTACCATCTCTCCCCTGCTTGAATGAGGGTTAAGGTTAGTTATAAGAAAGAGGGTTTGGCTCCCTGCTGTACCAGTCATAGGAGCCCCTCTCAGAGACACACACAACCCGGTTCCACTCCTTTAACCAACACCTCCTTTTAAAATCCTTTACCAAGCTATTTATCTGGTCACGGTACCTTCCCTATGGAGTACCTGCACTGGGCAAGTATGCAAGTTAGATGAGTGACCCCCACCCTGCCCACTTTTACTCCTTTCACAGTCAGTGAGTGATTCAGAAGACAGCAGTGGGCAACAATGGGAAAAGGAGAGGAGGAAGAGAGCTATAGAATAGAATATTTGTGGGATTGACAGAGACATGGAATACTTGAGGAACAAAGTACAGAAAGCCCTGCAGAGTTCATGGGTAAATGCTAGTATAATAGTAAACAAATAATACTTTTTAAAAAATCTGAAGATACAATTGTGAAATGTATTTTCCATTTTTACAAATAATATCCATTAAGTGTTGCCAAACAGTGAATCAAACCAACTGAAGAAATAATGTGTCTTAAATGGAGCAAAGTCTGAAACAGACCTTTTGAATAAAGGGTTACAGAAGACATTTCCCTCTCCTTGATGGAGAGGGTCATCTTGAAAACTTGAGTGATTTGACCTACTTCCGTATTTCAGAGATGATGGAAACCTTAAACTGATTTGCATTCCATAGCATGTGAGACCTTGCCTCTTGTGCCTAGACACTCTGTACAGACACTGTGAACATACATAACAGCATGTTGATAATGTAAAATAACCTGTTAAAATCAGATCAAGTATCAAGTGAAGTATGAATGCCTCCTTACTGTATGATATTCAAATGCTTTTTTAAGGGTCTGGATAGATCTATAAAGGTATATCAAATTGTAATGTTTAATCATTTTTTGTGGTCAAGGCTTTCTGTATAAATACTTTTTAATATAAATTTATTTTCCTTTTGGTATTTATTGATCTGTTTGGTTACTGTTTCACCTTTCATCCATGCCTGGACTTCCAAGGATTTAAGTTTGTCCCAAAAAAATACTGACTTACCAGCTTTACTAAATGTCCCCCCCCCCCCCTTTAAATAAAACAGCAGAATTTCAAAGGGGGGAAAATGCTATATACTAAGCGTAGAACACCAACGGCTCTGTCCAGCCCCAAATATATGCTTTCTACTTGATATGCCAGGTGTGCATGCTGTGTGTGTGTTCTAGTAACGAAAGTAAGTATGTTTCAGCTGGAAACTTATTTATGGGTTTCATGTTCCCCTAAGTTGTTCTAGATCGTTTCCAGAACATAGAGAAGACACGAGCCCTATCACAAATACGTTACAGGCTAAGTCCCTGACCTTGCAAACATTTGTGCCCAAGTCCTTGGGACTACGCTTGTGTATAAATTTAAGCATGTATACATGTGTTAAATCAGGCCCTTCAGGCTCATAACATAGAAAATCTATGCCAGAAAAATAATGAAGAGGGAAGGGGAAAGGAGGACAGCACTACAACAAGACTCTGTCTCAGCCCAGTGAGTTTTAGTGGATTTTTAAGTAGAAATGTTATTTTAGCATACATTTTATTTACACTGGAGCTGCTCAGGGAATTTGTTTCTTGCATACTACAACTCCCTGCAGGATTCAAATCAGTAGTGAATTGACTTGCATGGCTTTCCTATTTTCTAATCTGTGTATCCTCAATATAATGGTTAACACAGGTGTGTGTTTTTAAAAAAAAAAAGGCTGAAGTTGTTTTGTTATACAGCTGAAACTATCATTATGCTAAAATATTCTTAAAGTTACACATTTTGCTTGTAAGTTAACAGATGTGGATATAAAGAATGGGAACTGGCTGTGTATGTCTTCTACTTGCCTGAGAACCAGTATGGAATAAGCACCTCTCTGGGTGTGTCTGTCGTGTGCTAAGCTTTTTAAATGTAGCTGAAGTAATTTTAGCTTCAGGCACCTACAAATTCAGCTGGTAAGAAATGTACATCCACAGCTCGAGGGTTGGCAAGACATAAGGCACAGTAGTTCATTCCTAATCTTCTAGGGGCTCTTTCCTATCTTCTGACCAATTTTTGTTTATACAGGAGCTCAACTAGATTACTCCCCAGTGTCCGCTAAGGTTAAAAGACCCTCTTGCAGAGGTGGGCAAATTATGGCCCGCAAGCCACATCCGGCCTGTGGGACCCTCCTGCCCGGCTCCTGGCCTGGGGGCGTGGGAGTGGGAGGGGGGGTTAGGGTGGATGGGGCAAGGGTCCCGGGGGGGAGATAGGGGCTGGGAGCCGGGCCACGACCTCTTTCCCTAACCGTCCCTCCATACAATTTCTGAAACCCGATGTGGCCCTCAAACCAAAAAGTTTGCCCGCCCCTGCGCTATTGAAAATGAATGAGGCTTAGCCATTCTCTCCTGCCTCCCCTCCCCACATCTTTGAGAAGCTAAGAAACTAGCGTTTGAGGTTTGATTTAAAAAAAACCCTGCTCTTCATTTACCGCCTTTCAACATGTGCAATCGTAGCTTATGACACACAACTATTTAGCTGTCTGCCTTGTCTGTGACTATGCAGGCAGTAGTTGATGAGTCCTCTAGCTGAAATCCTAGACAAGGTGAATTTTCTGCCAAGTTTTAAGAACATTTCTTGTTCAGTTTGGGGTTAAATCCTTAAAGCCAGGTGGCTAGACTCTGTGCATAGGGATAATCTTTCCCTGTGCAGAATAAACTTATTTTTTAGCTGTAAATGCTGTTTTTTTTCTCTCCAACGAGCAATGCTATTCTCTAATAACCTTCCTTTGTTGGAAGTTAGCAGTGTTTGCATCTTCTTATGTTCACATTGTCCAGCATTGCACAGGAAGGGACTTCCTATTTGGCCAGGCAGAGGAGGGGAGAAGAAATCACTCAAATTGTTCTTTGAGTAGATGCAGCTGTGTAGTCCACTTAGGTGTGTGCCTGCCCAGCTCACCGGAGCAGGAGAATTTTGTCTAGCAATAACCGTAGGAGGCAACACTCATGTCTCATGGCCCATAGCCCCTCCCCTGGCTTTATGAGGTAGCGCCGCCTCAAGCCTCCTTCAGTTCCTTTTTACTACCCATGGCTGGAGTCGGAACTCTGTGTGGTTCTTAACCTCACAATTCCCTTTTGACTTAGTTGTATATAGTTAGTACCCTTAGTAACAGTATTAGCTAGTTAGTTAAATTGTTTTCCCTGGTGTTGCCCTCACCAGGGTGAAAACATTGTCTGTTGTGTGTGTGGGGGTGACCCCCAACAATGACCCTCTTACAAGGTGCTGCTTGCTCTGCTTAGGCGAGGCTCACGTCAAAGAGTGGCATTCGATCTGTAAATATTCATGAAACAGGTGGCTATAGAGCTTCGCCTAAAGCAGCACCTTCTCGAGCAGGCCACGAGGCCTGTTTTGGCACTGAGGGTTCATTGTGCAGAATCACCATTTGCAGTACATTGTGTCCTTCGTTTTGGTTTCTCTTCTGTCCCGTGGGTTTTTACCAAATGTACGGTCTTGGTGATGGCGTACCTCAGGAAAAAGGGAATCCACGACTTCCTGTATTTGGACAACTGGTTACTAAGGGACAGGTCCAGAAAAGAAATTCTCTTTCAAGTACATGTTACGCTGCACTTGCTTGATCGTCTGTAACTTATCCTAAACACTAGAAGATCAACACTTGTCCCAGCTCAGAAAATTGAGTTCTTTGGGGCCTTAACAGACTCTAGAAGTTCGAGAGTATTTTTACCAACTGACTGTTTTCAGATGATTCACTGGCTTTGTCTCGGTCTGTAGTCTAACCTTCTATGACAGTTCAAATGTGCCTAAGGCTCTTGGGCCACATGTCCATGTGCATGCAAGTGGTTTGGTTCACAAGGTTGAAGAGTGCAAAGACACAAATGTGGCTCAGGACAGTTTACCTTCCAACTCTTCACCCCTGGGACAGTTTGCTGTGCCTCCCTGCATTGATCCTGGACTCTTCGCAGTGGTGGATGGTTCAGAGGAAGGTATGTCAGGGCGTTCCCTTCATCTGGCCTTTACCAACCAGGATGGTTGTCACAGATGCCTCCCTGATGGGTTGGGGAACACACCTTGGGTTGCTGAAAGTTTGGTTGGAGCAGGAAGCTTCACTTCACTTTTCGAGACTGCATCAGGGGCTGAGTGGTTCACATATTTACTGACAATACCACCGTGATGTATTATATGACCACTCCAGGATGCGCTGCCAAGAGGCAATCAAGCTGTGGCAGTTCTGCATCGAGGAGAGTATCACTCCGATAGCCTATCACTTGCCTGGGGTCCAGAATAATCTCATAGAGCATCTCAGTAGGAATTTTTCCCTGAGACATGAGTGGTCTCTGAAGCCCAGTGTTTTGTGAGTTATCTTCGCAGCTTGGGTCATCCTGATGATTCACCTGTTTGCTACAAAGTATAATAGGAAATGCCATCCGTTCTGTGATCGAGAGCGCCTCAGTTCAGGCTCATTGTCCAATGCCTTCCACCTCAGCTGACAATTGGCTCTCCTATACGCTTTTCCTCCAAGCCCAATTATTCATAGATTTCATAGACTTTAAGGTCAGAAGGGACCATTATGACTGTCTAGTCTGACCTCCTGCACAACCGCAGGCCACAGAATCTCACCCACCCACTCCTGTATCAAACCCCTAACCTATGTCTGAGCTACTGAAGTCCTCAAATTGTGGTTTAAAGACTTCAATTCCACAGGTCATCTTCAAGATGAAAGCAAATCAGGCCAAGCTCATCCTCATTGCCCTTGCATGGTTGAGGCAATGCAGGTTTTCTGACTTCTCATGTTGCCAATTCAGCCTCCCATACCTCTTTTTCTCCAGCCCGATCTGCTGACACAGGATCATGATCACATTTTGCATCCTGTGCTCAGCTCCCTGCATTTCACTGTGTGGCTGCTCTGTGGTTGAATGAGGAGGATGTGTGGTGTTTGGCAGCTGTTTGACAAGTTCTACTCAACAGCAAAAAGCCCTCAACCAGAATGGCCTATTTGGCAAAATGGAAGTGGTTTTCAATGTGCTTGTTGGCCCACTTTGTCGTATTTGCTGCACCTTCAGTTGTGAGGCCTTAGCTTAGCTCATTGAAGGTGCATCTGGCAGCAATATCAGTGTTTCATCCTCCCATTCATGGAAGACCCGTATTTTCCAATGCTATGGTAGCAAGATTCTTAAAAGGGCTTCTTTGTCTCCGTCCACTGGTGCGGGACCCTGTGCTGCTGTAGGAGCTTAATACAGTCTTAGTGGCTCTGATGGGACTTCCGTTCAAGCCTTTGGCATCTTGTCTCTTTCCTCTATTCTGTCAAAAAACTGCATTCCTGGTGGTGATAACATCAGCAAGGAGAGTCTGTGAGTTGCAGGCTTTGATGGCGGAGCCTCCTTACATACAACTCTCCAAAAACATAGTGAAGTTGCAGCTGCACCCAAAATTTGTGGCTAAAGTGGTTTCTCAGTTTCATTTGAACCAGGTGGTATATTTGCTTGTGTTCTTTCCTAAACCATATTCATTTCTGGAGGAGTAGCGCCTTCACACATTAGATGTCAGATGATGGCTAGCCTTCTATCTGGACAGTACTAAACCCTTTCATGCTTCATCTCCTCTGTTTGTGTCATATGCAGATCGTATGAAGGGACAGGTGATCCCTTCACAAAGGGTCTCTAAATAGATAACTTCCTGTATCAAGGCTGCATACGAAATAGCTTTGACTATGCCCCCTCAGCGCAAGCTATGTCAATGGCATTCTTAAGTGATGTCTCAGTCTTGGACATTTGCAGGGCTGCATGTGGCTGTCGATTACATTTGTTTCTGAACCATTATGCCATTACTGCAGCATCCAGAGCAGATACAAACTTTGGGAAGGCAGACCTGCAGTCCTTGTTTAAATAGACTCTGAGCCCCACCCCCTGTGGATACTGCTTGTGTGTCACCCCAGTGGAATACACAGCTGCATCTACTCGAAGAAGAAATGGTTACTTACTATAACTGGTTCTTTGAGATATGATGCAGACATATATTCCTGACTGTGACGGGTTTCCCCCGGAATGCCAGCTGGAATTGGGGTACTACTGAGCCCTGTGACATACCAGCCTGGGCTCCCTCTCACACTGTGCTGCTGTGATAAGCTGTAGACCACTCCTGGTCTTATACTCCCCCTAGCATTCACACAGGCAGGGACACACCCAGCTGCAGTTGCATGAAGGCTCTGGTCAGCCACTGCATGAAGCAACAAGAGAGAGGCTACAGCCAAGGTAACCCCCAGCTCCCCAGGCATGGACCCCCCTCTGGAATATAAACCCAAAATTATACCATCTTGCACTGTACAAGGATTTATACAATGTAAATTCATAAATCGTTTGCCTCTCCTTTAATGTGGAGAAGAATATGCAACAAGCGTGTGTTAACCAGGCTGAGATTTTCCCCAGATACTTCAGTCAAAGGTATACTGGTTTAGATAAAGCAAAAAACAAGTTTATTAACTAAAAAAGATAGATTTTAATTGATTATAAGTGATAGCAAACAGATCAAAGCAGATTACCTGGAAAATAAACAAAACACAAACTAAACCTAAAGTACTAGATAGATTGGATATGACCTAGCAATTTCTCACCCTGGTTCATGATACAAGCAGTCCACCAGCTTTCCATACACAGGCTAGAAATCCTTTTAGCCTGGGACCAGCACTTCCCCAGTTCAGTCTTTGTTCCTCAGGTGTTTTCAGGAGTTCTCTTGTGTTGAGAATGAGGCCCCTACATGATGTCACACCCCACCTTGTATAGCTTTACCATAGGGCAAGAACCCTTTGTTTCAAAACACAGCTCTCAGTCCAGCTTGTGGAAAAATACAGCTAGCCAAATGGAGCTCAGGATCATGTGGTCTGGTCACATGCCCTTGCAGAGTCATAGCCGCCAGTACTTGCAAGCTGACTGAAATGTTCACAAGAAGGCTAAGCTCTCCCATAGTCCATTGTCTTTGCTGATGGGCCATCAGCACTGCCTGGCTTCTTCATTGTTGAACCTGAAAGGCTAGTTGTTGGTATCACCCAGAGTAAGCACATTTGAAATACAGATACATAGTTAATATTCATAACTTCAGATACAAAAATCATACATGCATACAAATAGGATAATCATATTCAGCAAATCATAACTTTTCCATGACACCGTACATGACACATCTTATACTAGATGCATCATAATTATGTTATAATCATATCACAATCATACAGTTATGAAGAATATGGGGGTGCAGTGGCACACTGACCCACCTTCTGTCCTTTCTACATCAGAATTCGGTCTCTGACTGGGTGTTTGATGTGAAGGAACTGAGGGCCGTTGAGGCAATGCCATCTCATATAGCCTGGGGAGGGGCTATAGCCAGGAGGCATGGGTGCCGCCCCTCTACAGGTACTGCTAGGAAAATTCTCTGGCTCCGGTGCGCTGGGTGTGCACCTACCTAAGTGGAATACACATCTGCATCACATCTCGAAGAACCACAGTTACAGTAAGTAATTGTTTCTTTTCTCTGTTGCAGCAGTTCTCAGACATTGGTCTGTGGAGAGCTGGCTGGTCACATGATACTGGCTCTTCCCCTTATTTTCATTTGCTAAACTGCATTAAATCAGCTAAAAATCCATTATTTTACTAATCCAGGTGGACAATTGCAATGGTTATGCACTTGTGAGTGGGAAAGCAAGTGGTGTGCATAAACACTTCCTTTCTTATTAAAATGTGATGCATATTAAACTTCTTTACAGTATCACAGTTAGCTTGAAAGGTGACAGACTAATTCATGTGAATTGTGCTTTTTCTTTCACCAAACAGTTTTTCTTTTCTCCTCCCCTTTTATCAGTCTGTCTAAGCAGTCACTGTACGAGGTGCTAGTCACTGGGATCTGAACACCAAAGGGCAAGTACCTGTATTTATTTCAATCGTAGCTGAGAGACTGAGGTGCTGAAGAGTGACATGGGGATAGTTGGAATGTTGGAGGGTTGGGAGGACAAGGGGGAACCAAATAACTGCACTTGAAGTTGTTTAGGAAATAATTCACTATAATATTTTGTTCCACATGTCCAACCATGAGGTATCTTTAAGAAAAGAGGTCTTTCTCCACAGCTGGTATGACCCTTGAGGTCAAAGTTCACTGAAGGCTACAGTCTTTCTCTGCATTTGGGCTGCAGGTGAACTTGCAGGAAGGAGTGAGATGGTTCCTTTCTCGTTTCCTGACTATTCCCTGCTCCCAGATGTTATTTATTTGTTTAGTGCTGACAAAGTGTGTGGGGATGTAGAGTACACACACACATATTCCCCTACCCCCAAGGAGATTGATTGGAACTTTGAGCCAGCATAAAGTCCTGCCTGCCCATGCAGATCCCTTTGCAGGATTGGACCCTACCACAGACACATAAATTGGAAAGCACTGGGACATTGTGAAGGGGAGGGTTGGTTGGCTTAATGGCTTCGGGTTTTTGCATCATAAACTCATTTCTTGGACTTGTGGGAGATGTGGTTTTTAAGAGGAACTTAAATAACGGGAGGATTGTGCGTTCAACTAAATACATACTGCCAAAGTGCTTTGGCCTGTATAGGAGCCTCTCAGGAAAAGAAAAGTCAACCCAAATGCAGAGAGATAACATCTCTAATTTTCAAATATTACACCTATACATTATGAAAAACATTGTTTCAGTTTCTTCAGTGTGTGTTATGGTAGTTATAGTGAATATTCACATAGTGTTTTCTGTCACCCAGAAATGGAAAAATGTCAGTACTTGACATATAATTACAGCCCAATAAACCATGAAATGATTTAATACCCAGCATTGTTATTCAACATCAGTGGCTGCCCCAGAATAAAAATGGAATGTATTTTTGGTAACTGAGAAACAGCAGTGCTGGAGGGTTGAAAATAGATGTCATATGATACCAATTATAGCCTGGTGAAACTTAGCAGACCTGGGAAACTACAAAGAGCAAGCCAAAATGGAGGGCAATTCTATACTCCATGCTTTTAACAACATCTATTTTGCAATCTTTGCTTTATTTTGCTTCAAGCTTTTAATTAAGATTTCTTTGGCTCTACTCACCCACTTCTATATTGTTAAAGGCAACAGAAAAGAGGCTGCCAGAATTGCAGAAGAGATCTATGGAATAGCACCAGGTAAAATGTTTTATGCCTTGAGAAATTAGATTTTAATCATTGTGTTGCTGTAGGATGAGGAGGTGATTGATAAATGTGTAAAATGGATGTTTTGTTCTGGCCACAAGTGCATTCCACTTCTGAAGTCTTTGCAAAAGCAATGTGGGTTGGCATGTTCTAGGTGTGCAAAATATGAGACTCTCTAACAGTTAGACAGCTTGACTGTGAACAACACTTGTTTAAGTATAGCAAGTACAGAATAATAATAAAGTAAATAAAGACATTTGCTTTGGAAAGCAAAGCATTTGTCAGAGTCAACTGTGTGAGTGACAAGGGGTTTTACTATGTATCCTAGTTTACAACCAGAGAGCATTTAAGGAAGAGGTTTAGTCTGTGGGTTTTCTGAAGGAAGATACCAGGAATGGTGCAATTAATGCCTGACTGGATCTAAGTTTAGCATTTCTGTTCTTTTGAACCAGACCATAAAAAAAAAGCATAGCTAAAATTCCTGTGCAACCAAAAGTATGGAAATGACTATACGTAATGGGCGTCCAAAGAATCATTTTCCTATTTGTTTCTTTTCAAGTAGTTTTTCTACAGACTTCAAACACATTTGCCACAACAGTGCATTGATAGGAATTAACACAAAAGTAGCACTTCTAATTAGAGCGTGTAAGGGCTTTAAAAATAACTGCTAACCAGTAATTGATTTCCTAATTAAATCATAAAGACACAGTATTTAGTGACATCCTTCTTATTAGGGGCTAGACTCTGATTCACGATGTATAGTGCCTTACTCTGTGAGTGGTCCTACGGAAGCGAGTGGAACTATTTGCCGTGTAAGATGACAGCTCATTGTAAGAGTATCAGAATCTGGGCCAAAGTGAAGGTACAGCAACTTCTTACCAAGCTCATATAAAGTAGAATAAATAGTTATTTATCCCCATCTCTGCAATGTGTTAGAATTATCTTACAGTTTATTAGAAAAGAGTGCTGTTAATTTATTGACAAAGCACTTATTACGTATGCCTTAATTTAAATTTAGTGAAATATTTGATAATTGGCTCCCCCCTCCCCCCATATACAGATTCTTTATCTAAGTGCATACAAAGTTACCAGGACTACAACATATTTTTATCTGCAAGTTGCCATTTGCAACTATCCATCAAGGATAATCTTTCAAAACACAAGGTCATGTGATGTTGTTGCCTGCACACTAGATTGGATTACAGATGCAGTGTCACAGCCTAAAGTAAAGCAATGTGGAGAGAAGCAGCAGCAGAGTAGCTTAAATTATCAGTAGAAATGTAGAAAGGACATGAAATTTCAGACATGCCTTTGGTAACCGGGGAGTTAAGAGAAGCCCCTTATGGGAACTACATTTGCCACATGTTTCAGGGAGGTATGTTGCTGTAGTTGGCATGGAAATGTGTGTGTGTATTCTTATGGTGAGATGTGTGCCTGCTTTATGCAACATGAAGTGTGTAAATATATACATACAGTATATATGTGTGTGAAATGTTTGTATATGCGGCACAGTGTGTGTGTGTGAGGTTAATTAGAGGGGTGGAAGCACTGTCTTGTTAAAGTTGCTGGATGCTTCCCATTATATAACTTTGCTAAAGTTTTAACTGTTCAGACTGAAATTTTCCATGTCAGGTGTCTGCCTCAGACTGAATAGAATATGTGGCTATATACATATATAACTTTCAGCCAACATGTTTCAGCATTTTCTCAGAACAAGGCTAGGGAAAAATCCATTGTTCCGCCTGCGTTCAGAAATTCGGGTGGCCTTTTATTTGAGAAGAACTAGTGCTCCCACGCTTTAGCGCAAGGACTTGCAATCTGGCAGGATGGTCCTTTGTATCCTTTTGCCATTCCTGTGAATATCTGCCCAAATTTGGCCTGTTGTAGCCTTTGAAAAATCACAGTTCTTATATGCTCAGAAGACTTGCTAGAGCTTATTACCGGTAGTTAAAAAACGGCTAAGATTCTGTGTGCCCTGGGTATGCTCCAGGCCAGAGCTAAGCAGGACTTTTCCCCTGCAATTATAGCCCGATGCTGCTGCAGACTCGGTTGGGACTGGTATGGAGCTTGTCTCTTCTGTGCTCAATGGGTATGTCTACTTTGCAATTAAAAATCTCTCGCTGGCTTGTGCCAGCTGACTTGGACTCACAGGGCTCAGGCTGAGGGGCTGTTTAATTGCACTGTAGACATTTGGGCTCAGGCTGGAGCCCGAGCTCAACGTCTACACTGCAATATAGCCACTTAGCTCGAGCCCTGCGAGCCTGAGTCAGTTGGCACAGGCCAGCCACAGGTATCTAATTGCAGTGTAGACATACCCTTAGGGGCCTTCTGCTGGGCTCAGGCAGCATGGAGGGGGAAGCTACCTGATTGAAATGCAGAGCGGATGAGATGAGAGACAGCTCTGGGTGGGCAGGCAGGGACTAGATTGGGAAATATGGAAAAAAAATTGTTTTTGGTGAGAACTGGACTGAAACCAAATTTCAAAATGCCCAAATTTCCCACAAATCTGAGATTTCTGCCAGCTCTAATTGTGAGGCAGTTTGGTTTTAGATGCTAAACTATGGCTAGTAAATTCTCTCTGCCTGAATCACTCTAGCTAAATAACTTTCTTAATGATCTGTTGGGCTGAATATGTATAAATCTGTTGGTAGCAGCTCTATTGTAGTGGGACCAAAAATAGACACACAGACAAACTAGCCAGCATTGTGGAGTTTGTTGGAGTGAAACTGTTCAAAATGATGTAGAAAAGCAGGAATCAAGCACCTGGCAGACTGTATTTTTTCATGTTCCTCTGAAATCATCAAGTGAGGAAGAGAAAAAAAAATACTATTATCCATTAATGTGCATAAGAGGGAAAGGTAGACACATTTATAGTACATATTAGATGTATTAGTTTAAGAGAAAAAAATTGCTGGGGACATATTAGAATTGGCTTGATGGACATGTCCAAAGCTAAGCCAGTGTTTGCATGCAATACATCTCATAACTAAGTGGAAAAAAACCCCACAGAGCAATTTGTTACAAAATTTAAATTACCCCGTAAAGCCTGTGGCCAGGATAACTTAAAAACAAACAAACAAACAAAAAGGTGCGGGATTTTGAAAATTGTCCCAGAGAGTCTCAATGACATTGTTCTCCTAACTCACTTAGGTGTTTTTAAAGATCCCTCCGATAAGGCTTTACTTACGTTCTAAATAAGTGGCCTAATTTTCAGAAAAGCTGGGTGTGCAGCAGTTCCCACTGAAATGAATTTTCGTAGGCAATCTCACTTTGTTGGTTTCAGGCCAAGGGTACATTTTACACACTGACACAGCTTGATCAGTCCTCCCAAGCAGACAAGGGGGGATGTGTGTAATAATTTCTCTTGTGATTTTTTTTGGAACTGTTTGTATCTTGGTGTCTCTGTGCCTTTGCAATGCCTTTGAATGAACTCTTGGGCTGTTTTAGGTTCATGGGCAGATCGATCTCCTCTTCATGAAGCTGCATTCCAAGGGCGCCTGCTATCTTTGAAAACATTGATTGCGCAGGTAAGAAACCAAAAATAAATAAATAAAAGGTTAGGCCTCAGGATTTTTTTGGTTAGATCTTATCCACAAATGATGTCATAGATTACAGTGGGCGCTCAAAGACATAGAGTTAGGGTTCTAAATAAAAAGATATACTGGACACATTTTGTCATATTAAATGTTGGGGATAAACTCAAAACAAAGGCCACAGATCACGCTGAATTATAATAGGCAAACATGATCTTCTGGTTCCTTTTCAAAGGCAAACAATACAAACGGGCTTCATAGGATTTGAACATAAAGATACCAATATTGTTTCTCAGGTATTAATGATCAGGTATTACACTTCTGTAAGGCTGCAAATGTGCACGTTGCCTTATAAAACAGAGCCAGATGTATTCCCTGCCGCAGAGAAGCTTACAAGGTGGGGGCCCAGTCCTGTGAGGTGCTGTATGCCCTCCACACCCACTGAAGCCACAGATCTAAAGGGGTGAAAGTGGGGAGGAAAGAAGGATCGAGGAGAACAAGAGGAGGAAGGGGATAATGCGTAAGGTCAAAGGAGCAGATTATAGTTAGAAACTCTAGGAGAACAATTAGCCAGAATGCAACCTGGAAGGATAACACATCGATTCTTCCTTCCTGAAAATGATCTGCTACCAAGGAGATGGTCCATTGAGTCCAAGCGCAGTCTATTTTGTCATAACACAGATGTAGGATTCCAAGCAGTGGGAAACATTTAAAATCTTTTAGCAAAGGCAGCCAGTGTTCACTGTCTTGGTCATGACTTAGATTAATTGTGCTGGTCTTTGGGACTTAGTGGATGTTGTAGTGGAAGAAAAGAAATTTTTCTTTTTCTGCATAGCAGTAGGTTTCAAAAATTCTTTGTACTATGATCTCTCAGAGTCAAAGGCTGTGTCTACATTCCAGGTGCTGTGATTCCCTGCTCACTACCACATACTCATGGTAGTTTGAAAAAACCTAGTCTTTGTATAAATAGCAGCGTAGCATGGAAGTGGTAGCGGTGGCCTGGCTTAGCTGAGCCAAGTACAAACCAGCTCTAACCCCATGGATATGTACTCTGCCTTTGCTACTGTGGCTATACTGTTTATACTTGCACTATCTCACATCAAGTTAGCATGAGAATGTCTACACAAGCTGGGAATCACTCCTTGCTCAAAGTGTAGACATTGCCAAAGTGTGACATCAGCCACTGCTGCTCAAAATTCCTCTCTTCAGTCTTTATTTATCAGAGGGTTGTCCAACTCTTTCTGTGAGAAGGGCCATAAGACATTTTGAATTATGGTTTATGGGTCAGGGCAACAAAGTTAGGGCCATATCCCACCATTGATCCACAACAAAACAATAGTGGTATTTACAAAGATGAAGGGTAAAACATGACAATGATGCAGTAACTAAACTCTTAATACCTTAACTAAAGTAATTTCATTCAGCATCACGCACTGAGAAAAATGATGCAAGATGCCTTCAGGGTCATTACTTTTTCTGTCTTTTGTTTGGTCATTTACATGCATTTGTTCAATTTGTATGCATATATGCACAGACACTCTCTTGTGGTGACTGTACAAATTGCAAGCTTAAGTTATTTGAAAAACTATTTTGTAAATTCTCACCATAAGGCTTAGAGTTAGCTCTCGGTTTTGCTGAAGGAGTTCCCCTTGCTTAGAGCTGTTCTTTCAGGATGTCTATAGATTTAGGAAGATAACTCTGCATCAGTTACACTCAATTCATATTTGGAAGGGTTTTTCACTGTCATAAAGTCTCAAAACTTTTCTTTCAATGAATGGTTGAATTCTGAGGAATTGGAATTTGTCATATGAGTCATATAAATACTTTTAGGAAGCCAGATCCTGCCTGTGAGCTAATGTATTTCAGGCCTCTGATATGTTACAAGATATCTCTCTGTGATTTCTATGGAAAGTAGAAAATAGGGGATGCTCAGGGGCCACTGTACCAACTGTCAAGGACAAAAGGTGGCCTTAATTTACTACAGACTACTCCATAGAACAGCCCATAAGAGCAGCCATACTGGGTCAGACCAAAGGTCCATCTAGCCCAGTATCCTGTCTTCTGACAGTGGCCAGTGCCAGGTGCCCCAGGGGGAATGAACAGAACAGGTAATCATCAAGTGATCCATCCCCTGTCACCCATTCCCAGCTTTTGGCAAACAGAGGCAAGGGACACCATCCCTGCCTATCCTTGCTAATAGCCACTGATGGACCTATCCTCCAGGAACTTATTAAGTTCTTTTTTGAACCCTGTTATAGTCTTGGCCTTCACAACATCCTCTGGCAAAGAGTTCCACAGATTGACTGTGCATTGTGTGAAGAAATACTTCCTTTTGTTTGTTTTAAACCTGCTGCCTATTAATTTCATTTGGTGGCCCCTAGTTCTTGTGTTATAAGAAGGAGTAAATAACACTCTTATTTACTTTCTCCACACCAGGCATGATTTCATAAACATCTATCATATCCCCCCTTAGTCGTCTCTTTTCTAAGCTGAAAAGTCCCAGTCTTATTAATCTCTCCTCCGATGGAAGCCGTTCCATATTCCTAATAATTTTTGTTGCCCTTTTCTGTACCTTTTCGAATTCCAATATATCTTTTTTGAGATGGTGCGACCACATCTGCATGCAGTATTGAAGATGTGGGCATATCACGGATTTATATAGAGGCAGTATGATATTTTCTGTCTTATTATCTGTCCCTTTCCTAATGATTCCCATCATTCTGTTTGCTTTTTTGACTGCCGCTGCACATTGATTGGATGTTTTCAGAGAACTATCCACAATGACTCCAAGATCTCTTTCTTGAGTGGTAACAGCTAATTTAGACCTCATCATTTTATATGCATAGTTGGAATTATGTTTTCCAATGTGAAATACTTTGCATTTATCAATATCGAATTTCATCTGCCATTTTGTTTCCCAATCAGGCCACCATTTTTACAATCTTTCTTTCTTTCTTTCTTTCTTTCTTTCTTTCTTTCTTTCTTTCTTTCTTTCTTTCTTTCTTTCTTGAGAGACTGAGAACTCTGAAACCCAAGTTCCATTAATCTTGAAAAGCAGAAATGGGGCCACTCTCTCAGGTGGGATCAAAAGTTAGCTCTGTTATCAGTCTGAAAGAGGAAATGGTCTGGCCATAATAAATGTGTCATCCTCACATCCCTCAGTAACCAATGCTGACCCAAAAATGAGATCCAGAGTTTTTCCATCCATACACTGAGCCTGAAACTAATAGTCCCATCGCTATTTGCTGTCGTGGTGGCCATGAGATCCTGAGTTAATCTAGAACAGTCGTAAACATTTGCTGAAGTCACTTAGGCTAACAAGCCTTGGTGATTCCAGAAAAAGATGGGACATAAACTCAGTCAATGTGAGCCACAGGTTAGGGTCACTGTCCTATGCTACTGAGATAAGACCCTGTAAGAGACAAATTGGGCAGTTAACAGAGATTGATCAACTGGCCTTTGCTTGCTATTAGCCTCTTTTGTGTCTCTCAGTGTTTGCTATAACCGGGATTTAAGGGTATGTCTACGCTGCAGAGAAAAACCTGTGGTGCTAAGTCTCCGAGCTTGGGTCAGTGGACTCAGACCTGCGAGGCACAGGCTGAAGGGCTGCAAATAGTGTGGATGTCTGGGCTCAGGCAGGAGCTCATGCTCTGAAAGCCTGCAAGGGGAGAAAGTCCCAGAGCCCAGGCTCCAGCCCAAATGGGAACTTCTACATTGCTCTTAGTTCTTGATCATTCTTTACCAACCCTCCAACTTCAAGTAACTTTGAAGGTAGGAGGGAAATGCACGTTGTTTGGAGGAGGAAATGAAGGGTGCAAGTGATAAGGAATATGGCTCACTTGTTCAGATCTCTCTTTCTGGCTCTCGTTTTCAGGTTGTCATGATGATCATATGGTACTATAGTGAAGAAGTGCTGTTGAACTGCAGCCGTTAACATGATTTTTGTTCCCTTAGAAATGCCGAAATATGGATTTACTTAATGGCACTTCTTTAAAACAAGCAGCAATTTCACAAACAAAAGCTCATAGTTTAAAACAAACACAATTTTCTTCCTGGGAGGAGGAATGGAGAAAGAACAGCCCATGACTGATGTGAAGCACATGGCTTGATGCGTCATTGGAAGCTACTCAAATACTACAGAGATGGGTGAAGTGCCAGAACCTGAATAGAACAGGATCCGCATTGCCTAGTCCCTGGTGTAGTACTTGAAGTGTTCTAGGTACTTTGCAGAATATAGAAAAGTCACAGTATCTGATTTGCAGAGCTTTACAACCTAAGCTAAGGTATTGCAAGTTATAACAGAATAGGGATGATGGAAGGAAAGGAGAACAAGAGTTATAACTAAAATCACAGAATTACTTTTTTTTAAATCTATGGTTGCATCTACAGTCAGATTCTGCACGCTTTGAAGCCATTGATTTCAGCAATGCAGGACTGGACTCCCAGTTGGTAAAGCCAAAGTCAAGGGAGTAACCATTGAAGGGAGCAGGATGGAGTTGATCCACAGCAACAAGATGAATTATGGGGTAAAGTTGCACATGCTATAGTATAGGCATTGCTCACTGTTGTCAAGCTGCCTATACTGTTCGCCTTTATGCTCAGATTAAACAGGTATCTTTACTTTAAAAGAAATCCAAACACTTTTTATTTTAAGATGTGGTTTCAAAGATGATCTTACTGACCTAGGACCACAAGTGCCATGGAAAGTCAGTGGAACTTGTGCAACTAAATCACTTAGGTGCTTTAAAAACTCCTACCCATCAAGGCTGGGAAACTAAGGGGCAGATTTTCAAGAGTTCAGCTCCCACCCAGTTCTTGTTGAGGCACCTAAATAAGTGGGTGGATTTTCAAAGAAGTTTGGCAAAGTTATGAGCAACTGGTTCTTCTAAGGGAAGTGCTGGACACCATTATCTAAAGTCAGGGCTACTAGTTCTTAGTTTAAGCATTTTTTACTGATGAAATGGATTACTCCAGTTTTCAATAGATGGGGTATTTTTTCTTTCACTGGATTACTGCGTTTCATGTGTTAGGCATATATATCTAATTCCGGTATATTGCTGTACTACGGTATCACTGCCTCCATTTCTTTTCTTCACACAAAGGATTTGTACAGCACCTTTCCTTCTATGGGGGGGGGCATATATTGTGCAGTGAATGCACTGCTACTGTAAAGCTATAAAATGGAGTAATCTTAGGAAGGTCACGTCAGGTGCAAAAGGAATATTGGGCTTCATGTTAATTCTCTTACATGTTTTCCTCATATGGACATGAGCCAGCAAAGCTTTTAATTTTAAGAGAATTGTTTATTTAAAAATATTCACTTCTTCTAGTTTAAATTGTTGAGCTAGAGGGTATTGCAACTGTTTTTAATGCTCATCGTGTCAGTTGGTTGTGGCTGGCTACTTTCACAGCACTGAATTGCCCAGAAATATTTATTCCCATGGGTAATATTTGCTGCTACAAAGAAAAAAACACCACCACCATCTTGTGAACTGCTTGAGCGTGGCGGGGCGGGAAGCATCTAGAACCTTATAGATGCTGCATTTGGAATGTCAGAGTTTGAATTATTTCCCAGTAGAACTGATTTCCAATGTACATGTGCTTGAATTCTTACTTGTCATTTGATGGAGCTATAGGCTGGAAAACGTACAACAAAGTCCCAGTCATGTTTGGATCCAGCCATATTTGCGCTGCTTTTCCCCCTGTGAATGTTTGTGTGGCTGGTTCAGTTCATACAGCTGTTAATGGAACACTTATAAAGCGTATTTGCTATTCAGTATTCTTTACTCCTGTTTAATCAGGTTGATAAACAACCAGGGAGAAGAAACAGTACCATGTGACTCAGGAAACAAATCACACTCCTGGTCAGAGTGCTCATTTTGCGGATAAAAAGTGTAGTTTATGACATATCACAGGCACCTTTTCATATCTGGGAATAGGGAAATTAATCTCAGTCACTAGAGGCCAAAGATGTACAGTGTCTCTCCTGCAATTTACCATGAATTATGAAGCAACACAGATAAGCGTCACTCAGTTTCTTTACCTTTTGCTTTAAATCCCTTCCAGCGGCGATGGATGCAAGAGCTGCAGTATCAGAGTGATTGTCTGAGCCATGCGTATTCCAGGGCAACTCTCATTGACTTCGGTAGGAATTTAGCCAGAGCAAGGACTGTAGATTTGACCGCCATGTAACTCCCGCCTGGAATGAACTCCAGGAATGATGTTTGCATTGCTTGGTGTTTGTTTGTTTTTCACCTCTCTGCTCTGATTTCTAGGGATTCAATGTGAACATTGTAACCATAGATCGGGTTTCTGCTCTCCACGAGGCCTGCCTGGGTGGCCATGTCGCTTGTGCGAAAGTCTTACTGGAGAACGGCGCTCAAGTGAGTACGAGCGTATAAACGAGGCCGTGTGTGTGAGAGAGAGAGAGAGAGAGAACATCTGGCCACAAAAGGGGACAATATTTTGCTTTCACTAATAGTAAATTACTTACATTTCTGTAGGGATAGCTTTTTTCCTGAAGGACCCCACCTTTTTACAGCTTGGTGGCTGTTTTGATCGCAGACATATTCCTCTTCGTTTTTCTTCTGTGAAACTTCACTGTGATCAGTGGGAAAAAATTAGGAAAATTAGACCAAACTAACTGTTATGATGATGAGTTGTGCTTTGCTTTCCAGAATGGTCACTGGAATTGCTCCAAGTTTTTTGAGATAGTTTGTGATTTATACATAAAGGGGCTTAAGAAATGAAACATTTTGTCTAATAAAAGAGCAGCTTTTCTCCACATTGGACCTAATATAAAAATATCTTTAAAAATGAAATATGGGAATATAAAGAAATATATGGGGATTTATTATATTGGGTCTGCTTACAGGTTCCCCTGATTACTATGCTGAACAATTTACATGTGGAGTGGCAAGAAATCAAAAAAGTGGAGTCCAACAATTGATGTATTCATTAGCAGAGAAGAATATGATTATAGAATAACTATACTGTACATTAACTTTTAAGCCCCTAGACAGGAAAAACAAACCTTGCTCTTCATATTACTCAGTTTCAGGTTGTTTTTGAAATTACCCAGTTTAAAAAAAATTGCAATGTATTGATCACATATCTTTTTAGCACCTAGAAAGTCATAAATCTGAACTATCAATTGTCACTGTCAGTAAATCATCCTTATTGTTCAACTTTTCCCATTCTTCATTGCTACATACAGTCTCAGTTAGTCAGTGGCTTTTTCTTCACATAAATTAATAGTCACGGACACAAGAAGCGGTGTCCCATTCTGTTGCCTTTCTTCAGCACTGTGATCTTTTTCATTTCCTTCACTAGAAAGCCATTTACTCTGGAACAACCTTCCCAGAATTCCTTCCTCTATTACCAGATAAGTCAGTACCCAGTGGAGAGGCTTTGCTAGTGTTTTTGCAAGATGAATTGGCTACCCATCAAAATGTAGGAGCTGCACAGCAAGGCTTTGTCTACGCTGGGGGAAAGCATCATGTTAGATATGCATTCACTAACTCATTTTAACTTGCAATACGACTTTGCCCTTAGTGTGGACAAGGACAGTCATGATGAAAACATATTAGCTGGTCTATGATTTTAACAGGTGTTTAAAAACAACTTGTCCTCATTTACATTAAGTGCTAAGTCATGTTTAACATCATGGTAGTTAACAAGTTTTCTAGCATGATGATTTTTCCCCATTGTAGACCTGGCTCTGCCATTGAGCCCATTCCCTGGGTGTAGAGCTCTGCAGCTGGGTGAGGTGCCATTCAAAACATATTAGAGTTCATTTTACCATGTTGGGCAAATACCCCTGCACCACATATGGGGAACCAGTCTGGTAGGATTTAGGAATTCAAGATGATGGACATCTCTTCCTTCAGATATATTGTTCCCTTCAAGACTGTGCTTGTGTTCCTTCTGGCCCTCATCTTTCGCCAGGCTCTCCCTTTCCCCAGAAGCCAAACAAACCCCCATTCTGTACTGTTTCCAAAATAGGAGGTGGGCAGTCTGGAAGAGAGCTGGAAAATGGCCTTTTTCTTTTTAAAGTATATGCAGTACAAACCGATATATTCAGCATCTTGGAAAAAAGCTAAACTGTGCACCCATTCGTGCAGCTGCATAATCTCCTCATGTAGACGTTGTTGAAGCTGCTCCAATAACTGGGAATTGATTGGTAGCATTTTATACTGGACTGCCAACTCAGCCAATCAGGCATCGAAATGCCAGCAAAAACACTAGCAAAGAAGCAACCCCTCTGCTTCTCCTCTCGATTGGGTACCCACTTATCTGGTAATAGAGGAAAGAATATTGGGAAGGTTGTTCCAGAGTTAATGGCTCAGTAGGGAAGGAAATTAAAAAGATCCCAACACCGCAGAAAGGCAATAGAATGTGACACAGCTTTTCCTAGAGGGCTGCATACCTGACTATTAAGTTATTTTTTTTAATAAAAAAAACCCCCAATTTTCCATTAGTTTAAAAAAAAAATACCTTCCACAGAAAATTTTTAGGCTGCCCTAATTCCACTGTAGAAATAGAGCTTGAAAGGCAACTGAGTTGGAAACAGGGGTCATTGTGAATCTGGCTGCTCTATTATAAGGGGAGGGCAATAAAACTGTTCATCATATTCCATAAGGACAGCTGGGATCTCCAATTCCCATTCTGTAGCAAACTGTAGTGAAGACCCCCATGTACTATCATACACTAGTAACTAGATCCACATTATGCAACAAGTCCCTCCCAGGCAGTTTATTCAGCAGAGCTGCACTTATCTCTGTGACAAACTGGGAATCATGCAACAGTGCTGAGAGTGAAATCTACTAATCTGTGTGACTTCTAAACTGGAGAGAGCAGGAAACAGACAGGGGGCTAGAAGGTCTGTGTGAACATTTTCATTTAGTCAAAAAGTATTTGCTTTCCTTCCAAGATTTGGATTTGGTCAGAAAACTGCAACTGTGTTGGGGTTAAAAG